ACAGCAAATACCCCGAATACAGTTAACCCCTGACCTACAGGTAACCCTCCCAATAACAGCTCACCCCCAGATTACAGCTCATGCCCCGACTACAGGTAACTCCCCAATTACAGCAAACACCCCGAATACAGTTAACCCCTAACCTTCAGGTAACAGCCCAATAACAGCTCACTCCCCGACTACAGGTAACCCCCTGTTTACAGGGGGCGTTTCTGAGCTCGCAGATGAGCAGTGGGCAGGTTAGAGGAGCTTGTGTGTCTCTCCTCCTTCTCCATGCAGTTCCGGTTCCCGTGATTAAGGATTCAGAGAAACAATGGCTGATTGCCCATTTCATCAGTATAGAAGAACCGACCGCCCTCTTCTCTCCCTGCATTTCTCTGATTCGCTCTTTCTCTCTGACCTGTGTTGCTCTGCCTCGCTTTCCCCAAGAACGTACCACCGATGCTGTTCCACCTACGAGAGTGCTTCCCTGCGGATGTTCCGCCTGGGCCGCACGGACACCATCCGCTCCACGTCCGTCGACTCCCTGAACTTCGTGCAGGCCATGGACGACCCCGGCCAGCAGGTCAGTGAGCCTGCAGCAGCACCCCTGAACATCGGCCTTCTGGTCATCGCAGAGAGCTTTCGCTGTCCTTCACCAGTATCCTCTCCTCTCCTGTCCTGTGGAATACGTCCACTGGGTGAAAAGAGAATGTGAGAATCTAGGATACAACCCAGAGGAGACCTGTGGCCCTTTGTAGTTTGTGTGGCTGCTAGTATTTTATTAACCTAAGGATGTCATCCAGTTCAAGACTTGAAAGAAACCAGGGAATCAGCTATCCGTGTCGACAATTTTTGTTCCACACCCCCACAACCCTTTACGTAAAGAATCACCTCCAGTTCCCAGCCTTAAATGCCCTTCCTAATGGCTTCCCCTTGTGTCCTCTGCTCCTTTTTCTTCAGTGTGGATCCTGCCGATTTCTGGAGGTTATCGGTGATTTTTTTTTTTCCCCCACGTGCTCACGAATGCACTGATCTGTCTTGATAATCCGTCGATAAAATTGGGCGTCTGTCTGTGTGAGTTTTGGGACTGAATCGGCGTATTGAAAACCCACAGTGACTTTCACAAAAGCTACAGCTTGCAGGACAAATTGACAACCTAACCGTTATCTAGAGCATCCAGTATTAGGTTCTTAATTTCCAAGTCCTACAGACCTGCCCTTTAAAGCTTATGAAACACCTGTAAAGCAATGACTCCATTCTGATTCAAAGGGGCAATCGGCACTACCTGCGCCCTGTTCTCATTCTACAAAGCGTCACGCAATGTGCTTTGTGACTTGACACCGTCCTCAGCTGTTATTCCCATACTGTGATCCCTTTGTTTCGACGTACCTGAACCTCAGCCACTCCCAGAAATCCTTATTTTTTTTTGTCACTGTTCCTGATGTCTTTCTGTGCGCAGAAGCAGGAGAAGGTTGCGCTGCTGGACAAGGCGGTCAAGGCCCACAGAGCTTACACGGACATGGTAGGTGTGCTGGGGCAGCGGGGGCCTTTTGGGGTTCGAGTCTTTGCAAGGTCTCGGGGCTGGGCGACTTTCACTTTTAGAGAGTCGTGTCACGTCTTTTGTCAAACCGCTCTATATCATAAGGTGTCGTGGGAGGCCGGAGCCTGCCCGGCAAGCAACGAGCGCAAGGCAGGGTACACCCTGGACAGGACGCCAGTCCATCACAGGGCAGGTGCAAGCCAATCATACACGGGGACAGTTTGGAGGTCATGGTAAAGGCTGAGGGGGGAAATTTGGCCGGGACGCCGGGATAACTCCCTACTCTTCTTGAGAAACGCCCGGGGATCTTTAATGACCCCTGAGAGTCAGGACCTCGGTTTAACGTCTCATCCGAAAGATGGCGCCCACGACAGTACAGTGTCCCCGCCACTATACCAGGGAATTAGGACCCACACAGACCACAGGGTGGGCGCCCCCTACTGGCCCCACTAACACCACTTCCAACAGCAAGCATAGCTTTCCCAGGAGGTCTCCCACCCAGGTACTGGCCAGGCGCACACCTGCTGGGCTCCAGTGGGGCGGCAAGTTGAGAGCCGCAGTGTGATCTGGCTGCCTGCCGCTCTCCAGTGCCCGATCCAAAACGGGCATCGCCGCGTCGTCCGGCCCGCTCCTACCCGCTCGCCGGACAGGCGCGAGGGATCGCAGGGAGCGCTCTCTCAGGGCCGCCGCGGTTCTCCCTCTCTCCTCTCTGCAGGCCATCCACGGCCAGGCCATCGACCGGCACCTGCTCGGGCTGCGGCTGCAGAGCATCGAGGACCTGACCAGCATGCCGGAGATCTTCATGGACACCTCCTACGCCGTCGCCCTGCACTTCAACCTCTCCACTAGCCAGGTACAGCTGGCGGGGGGGGGTCCGTGTCTTCAGGCCGCCGCCTGTGGTGTGGGCGGAGCCGGGCCTGGCCAGCAGGATGCCAGAGCGGGGAGAGATTGAGGTGGAGGAGTTTGGTGCCGCATGTGTGCGCTCGCTGGGATTCGTATCGGCGCCCATCGCTCAGGACGTGCAACAGCACGACAGACAACGCCACACAATGTAGACAGCACATTGCCAAACGGCACAAAATAAATTGTAAGAACAATAAATGCATGGTACAGAACAATATGTGGTAGTAAGAAAGAACTTGGTAGTCCAAGTCAAAGTGCACAGTGCAGACGTGCATTCTGAGTCCTGAGGCATTGCACAGTTGGCTGTTTAGACTTGGAGATCTCCCAGCTGCAGTTCCAAAGTCGTTTTCGAGCCATTACTAAAGAAACAGTTGCATTAGTAGAAATACCCTGATGTATTCTCATGCTCTTTTGCACGTTTTGGCGTTTGTGAATATTCAGACAGGCCCGTCTCGCTTGCTTGCTAAAGCAACAGAGATAGAGATCACTTTATCAGCCCTATACAATTTCTTGCATTAGGAATTAGTCTTTTCGCAGACCCCAGCTTGCTCTCCATGAGACACACAGACAGGGAGAGAAGCTGGGGGTCAGAGCGCAGGGTCGGCCATTTTTACGCGGCGCCCCTGGAGCAGCTGGGGTGAAGGGCCTTGCTCAGGGGCCCAACAGAGTAGAATTCCTCTGCCGGCCGCGGGATACGAACCGGCCACCTCCCAGCCACAGGCGCAGATCCTGAGCCACAGAGCCAGAAAGCAGCAGTGAACAGGAGGCCAGGCTGCGGTGCTCTCTGTCTGCTCGCCCTGCTTTGTCCACTAGGGGGTGCACGTAACAAAAACCGCAAGTCACCGCCGGGCTTTTATCTCTGCCAAGGTGCCAGCCAAGACGGACTGCGTGATGTGCTTCGGACCGGTGGTCCCGGACGGGTACGGCGTCTGCTACAACCCGATGGACGACCACATCAACTTCGCCGTGTCCGCCTTCAACAGCTGCGCCGAGACCAACGCGGCCCGGCTCTCCCAGTCGCTGGAGGAGGCCCTGCTGGACATGCGGGCCCTGCTGGAGCAGGCGCCCAGGGCCAAGCTGTGAAGCCGCTGCGCCGGCTGCGTCGGCTGCACTAGCTGCGTCAGCTGCACCAGCTGCGAGCCGACGTCCTCCCAGTGCAGAAACACGGGCAGGGGGCGCTGCAATCAGACCTGTACGGCTTCCCATTGGACACAGCAAACCTCTGGCACAGGAACCGAAGTGCAGAGGACACTTCTACTCCAGAAACCCCCCACCTTGTGTGACCGAGACGTAGGGGGAGAATGAAGACTTGTGATGAGAAAACTCTGCAGAGAAAACAGAGGAGCCCAGCATGATAGACAAGCAAAGATTCCTGCGATACAGTGGAACCACTGGAGTACAAGATGGATAATTGCTGGAATGCACAAAAGCTTGACTGGCCCGCTACATTTTGGGGGAGCTCAGTTTCACCCCCCCCCCCCCCCCAATGTCATGCCTGGTGGAAATGCACGTACCCCTTTACTTGGTGGGTGCCGATGACAGAAGAGACACGGGGGGCATTTTTCCAGTTCCCTTAAAAGAGACGATTCACTTTTCCCCCCGTTTTATCAGGCAATGTCTGTTAAATGGGTTGACTGAGCGTCATTTTGCTGTTGTGCCTTCTGATTAAATTTGTTCGCCTTGACTTCCCCCCCCTACGGGGTAAATCTGGGGAGAGAGGGGTACGCCGCGTCACAGTGGAGGTGGAGGACTGCTGCGTGGACCCGTGCTCCTTTCTCGTTTGCATGCTCACGAGCCGACGGCCGGAGAAAGAGGGGTGCTGTGTGGACTTCCTGCTATCCCAGCATTCCCGGTCCACTTCCTGTGCTCGTCCATCTTGAGCAAGGAGGCGGGGGGGGGGGGCGGCTTTCCCAGGGTGGATTCTGGATTGGTTTGGGGCTGATCAGTTTGGGGGTAAAAACTGACGTGGCCTTGGATGTCTCGGCACCCACCTGATAAAAAGCTTCTACTGCAAAATATTTTAAAGAAATATGTATTTCCGTAATAGGCTTTCTTTCAGACTGTAAAAAGGCCACTCTAGTATATTTTTGCAATACAATTAAAATTCCACAGAGGCCACTGGGATTGGGAATTCTTCGGATATAAGTATTAAGAAACGCTTCATGACAGCCGTGGCCGCTGGCGATCATGACATAAACGACACTGCTATCAGCGGCGTCATGATTTGCCCGTGACTGTGGTACCAGCCTTTCACACTGGTTTTTAGCCCTTTAACGCTAGGCGGTGCGGGCAGAAATCTCTCCCCAGCACTCTGCCAGCTCGTGAGACGTACGCGCTTACAGATGGTTCACCTGCAGTGCAGCCCACTTTCAAGGCTGGACAGCTGTAATTGTTGATATCGTTTGATATGGTAACATGGAGTCCTTTTGTATCTGATCAGTATTAATACGCTAAAAGTATTTTGCTTCTGTTTACGGGGCAGTTGGTAGTGAGAGAGACTTCATAGGGGGCTGCAAGACTTTTTGGCAGCCACAGGTAAATGTCAGATTTACAGCTGCTCAGTGCCGCCTACTGAGGCTCATTGAGTGTGCCTGGCTTAACGCAGTGCAAGACTCCAGCACTGATGCTTTCCGCCTGTTTTCTGTCTATTCATTTTGAATTGAAAATATAAATATAGTAAGGTACTTTGAAGGATGCTGGTGCTTCTGCATTCTTTCTGACAATGCACAGGAATGCACAGGAAATGAAACATTAAAGCGCCCTCTGCCATTACTGATGTCGTTCCATGTTCAAGATGAGGGTTCTTCGGTGTTTATTCACACTTTGGTTTTTGTGCACTACAACAGCAGCTCAAGGTTGACGAGCGCAGGTTGACGTCGTACTTGCTAGCAGAGAGCTGGCTGGCCCGGGTCCCAGAGAGCCACACTCCAGTGGGCCTCGCAAGTCACCCCAAGATCCGTGATTTGTAGAGAGCCGGAGCACCTGTGAGCTCTGATCAGTTTAGCCCGTTACCTGGCCCGGTTACATCGGCACTGGCCCACTGTAGTATTTGGCAGCCTGGCGGGGCTGTTGGCTTTTCTCTGTCAAGACATCTCTGAGCTGCTTCATCAAACAAAGCACCTGCTTCGGGAGCCTAGATGAATGTGGACCAAGACCTTCAAAATCTTCTGGATCAGGGGCTCCCCAGGACTGGCATTGGGGACGCCCGGTCTATAGCTCCCATGTGTGCTTGTCCCAGAGGAAAGAAGCCGATCGCAATCCTGAGCCCTGGTCACTCCAGAACCACCCGGCTTCAGTTCCAGAGCTCGGAGTTAATTAAGGTTACAGACGGAGACGACAGAGTGCAAGATCCCTAAGACCGTATGTTCAGCATGCGCTGTCCCATAACCTGCCCTGACTTCCAAAGCAGGGAGGCAGATGGGCAGTTTAATGGGTTGGGGGCCCAGACCCCATGGGCTTGAGCCTGATCTCGGGTGTCGTCTGCACTGTGCCCAGACTGCCTGAGCCACCCCCTCCCCTGTGTGTTTCTAAGGGCAACCTGAAATCTGTGACCGAGCAGAGAACAGCCTTTCAAAGGGTCAGATTTCGGGTTCTGGCGGCTGCTGGGTTGTGTCCCACCCTGCTTCTCGGTTACACAGCGGATCTGATTAAATGATGAGCTGCGGAACTGTAACAATTTGAACTAGGCTGCAAGGTGACTTACAGGTAACTGTGGCTTTAATGAAATGAGTGCCATTAGATGTCCGGAGCTGGAGTTAGTGTCTCCATTTTCAGTTCATTGGAAAGGGTTGTGAAGCCCTGACTTGTGCTGTTCTCACTTAATTTTCCTGACACACTGCACTGTGTCCATGCAGCTGATGCCTGCATTTACATTCTCACACTTCAGAGCTGTTTTAATTAAGAAAAAAGAAACACGTTTGGTTTGTTTTCTGGCTTTCCTATGAATTCAAATTTTAAGGGTGTGTTAATAGCAGAGATGTTTTTACTACTATGAACGTGTTGCAAATGAGATTTTCCTGAGTTTCCTCTGTGCCTTGTGACTGTACTGTCAGTGCACTATGAGTTCAAGTCTGTTAATGCACATCAATAAAATTAGAGTTTATAAACCTGCTCGCCGGAGAATTCTTCTGTAAGTTTTCGATACTGATTTAAAAGTAAAAAGAAATGGTTTTTAAGAGAGAAAGCAAGAAACTGGAAACCGTGTGAGAAATAAGAACACACTGTAAAACCCAGGGCTGAGGATAAAATATTGACAATACATGTAAACCCCAGAACCAGTACCTTGTATAATTGCAATTTTACAAATGTTGCAAATATTCAATATATATATGCATATATTTACATCGTCAAGAACAGATGATTTGCCTTGGTAAATGTGGGATTATATGCTACACAATTTATCTGCATGTTGTTAATGTTTAAGAATGTACACAAATGTCATAAAACATATTTTTTTTTT